CCCCGCCCCGCGCGCGCCCCGCCCCGCGCGCGCCCCCCGCCCCGCGCGCGCCCCCCGCCCCGCGCGCGCCCCGCCCCGCGCGCGCCCCGCCCCGCCCCGCGCGCGCCCCGCCCCGCCCCGCGCGCGCCCCGCCCCGCCCCGCGCGCGCCCCGCCCCGCGCTGCCACAGGTTCGAGTCCCGGCTCCGGCGCGGCCGATCCGTTCGCCCTGAGAAAACATCTCGTCAGTCCATCCCGATAGCTGCAATCCATGGCTCCAACCCATATAAATGCCTCCAGGCTCGTTCTGGTGGTGCCCACTGGCATAAACTTAACCAGAACTTCCACCTCAGTTTTTCCTCTGAGGATGGCCGGGCACTGCTCGGCTCACCCACCAGATTTCTTTGGGTCTCCTCCAGCACGTCTCTGTTGGAGAAGCTGCTTCTGACCTGTGGTCTCGGTGACTGCCGTGTAACAGGACAATACTGAGACTTTGTGGGCGTTCATTCTTTTCCTTACTTGTTATTTTCGGTTTAAAAGGAAATAAAGAGCGTGTGCATCCAACAGTGTATTCTTCATGTCCAATGGCATGGATTTCAATGGGGAGGCATAATTATGCAACCAAAGGAATAATGATGCTTAAGTGCAGGGAATTATTTAGAAGTGAATGAAGAAAAATTCATGGAGAACCATTAAACACAGGAAACAATGGCAGTCAGCTGTGCAAGAAATTACTGTGCAATGCAACTTACCTGTGCTCAGCACTTGAAATGCTCATGCCCTAAGAGACCAAGAACGTAGGAAGTTGTCTAGGAGACCCTGTGACATACTACACATCTATAATGCAGTCTTTCTGTGTGGAAGGCTGCCTCTCTGAAGACATTCAAACCCCATCTGGATATGTTCCTGTGTCACCTGCAGTGGACGGTCCAGCTGGGCTTGGGAGCAGAGCCTGAGCCCCCTGGCTGTCCCCTCCTGTCAGGAGCTGTACAGAAACACAAGGTCCCACCTGAGCCTCCTTTCCTCCAGGCTGAGCCCCTTCCCAGCTCCCTCAGACTCTCCTGGAGCTCCATTCCCTTCCCCAGCTCCATTCGCCTCTCTGGACATCATTCCATGATGTTTGTATGAGGTTGGACGTCCTGTGAGGCAGCTTTACTTTACCTCACATCTCACTAATCCCATTTTAGGAAGTATTTTTTTCCCAAAGCTGTGGTGTTGGAAAGGAACAATCACTTCATGATGATGTAATCTGGCAGAGATGCAGCAACCGGGCTGGAGTGCAGCGTGGTGGTTTCCTGGCACCTCTGTTCTGGAATTAAAACGCAGCACTTGTGGCATGGACACAGCAGTAGGAGTCCACTTCCAGTGTGGAAATTCATCACCGTGGGGAGATTGTGCCCCCTGCCAGTGAAGGTGGCAAAGGATGCCTCTCTGAGGCCATCTCTGCCTCTGTGTCCACTCCCACTGTGCCTTCCCCCTCAGCAGCACGGCACAAATCCAGGGCAAGAGGATGCAGCAGCATTGCTCCAGTCTCCCCAGCTCCATCCAGAGACCTCCTGGGACTGCATTCACTGCATCAGGTTGGGCCTTGACTGTGGTTTGAATATTCATGTCATCTTCCAAGTACTTTTATTTTTTCCAGTTAGCACCCACAGCCTGGGCTGGTAGTGGTAGTTTCCATTTGCAGCCAGTCAGAAGATGAGGAGAGAAAACTGTGACTGGTCATGCCACAACTCAGGCTGTTCAGAGGCAAGGACAATGACCGTGACCATATGCCCATGATTTGAGGTTTTCCCCAAACATTTTAAAAACAAAATACTAAAATCTAAAGAGATTTTTCATCTCCTGTCCTGGGAGGCAGTGGGGACATAAAGAGTGCCTGTGGTCAGACACCCAGGGTACCCATGACACTGAAACCCTCTGCAGTGTATTGGGGTGGGTGATTAAATTGATTTCTGCAGTTGTGGGCCCACTTCTTAATTCCAGATTGGATCCTGTGGGAAGATTCAACCACAAATTCCTTTCTAAGCTGCAAAAGGAGGGGAAGTGTCACCATGGAGAAATATTTCCACAGTTTTGTGGGTTCCTTCAGCAGGAGGGCACTGAGGTGATCAGAGGGGTTGAACACATCTCATACAAGGAAAGGCTGAAAGAATTGGGAGTGTTCAGCCTGGAGAGGAGAAGGCCTGGGGGAAACCTAATCCCCATACCTGAAGTAGCCAACAAGAAAGACAGAGAGAATTTACAAGGATTTAGGGTGACAAGACAAGGGGGAATGGCTTCACACTGGCACAGAGCAGGGTTAGATTGGGTGCTGGAAAGAAAATTCTTCTCTCTGAGGGTGGTAAGGTCTTGGCACAGATGGTCATGCTAGAGGGGTTAAAAAAAGTATCTTCAGAGTTAACACGCAATGTATTTTAGGCCAAAAAGAAATGTCACACACAGAAGACCCAAAGGAAATAATGGCAAGAAATTAGAGGAGGAAGAAATACTTCAGCCCCCTAAAACAATAATGGGCCAACTTGGGTAACCACCGAATAATGCAAGTAGAAGTTGCACTTTACCTATCTCCATGCAGGGTGGTGAATTAGATGCATCTCCTTATCACATTTTTATTTGAAAAAAGGGGTAGAATTTTAAGGAAGGATTTTTTCCCCAGAGCAGTTTTCTTCTCCCACCAAACACAGTGCTTCCTTACAATTAACCCCTGAAGCATAAACCAAGAGTTAGCCTCACCTGGCCACCTCCTAAAAGCACTTACTATCTTGAAAGTCACAAGAAATCGACTATTAGAACTCTATCCTTGCTGATAAGATAAGGCTGTTGTGTTTTTTCAAACAATAGCCAGACTGCAGCACTTAGATTTATTTGCAGTGCCAGATAAATCTATGTAACGTGAGAAGAAGAAGGAGCAGGTTGTGTTTCTGTATGGAAGAAGGTTTGGAAGTAGTTAAAAATTATACAACTCTTTCTGAGAAACCAAGCTAGCCAAATGACAGGAGAGGAAGAAGGCCTTTATGACACAGTAAATGTTATTTGAGCTGGCTTTGAGAAAGGCTGGACCCTGTGGCGGCTGCTACAGACCTTAGAGCTGCCATATGTGTGACACAGTGTGGCTCTGGCACCAACAAACCCCTCTCCTTTTGCAGTTCCAGTTCACTGTCACTTGGGAAAGGCTTTTTTTGGGGTGGTTAAACCAACCCCACAGCCATCGGCCTGGAGCCCTCCTGTGTTTTTTGGGGGTCAGTAATTGAACAAAGCAAGGAGTGAGTCACAAACTGCCTTAGCAGGCTCTTCATTGATGCAGGCTTTTCTTGATGCATCAACCTTTTCCTATATTTCCCTATTTTGAGAAGGCCAGGAGCCACCAGCACAAGCAGCCAGCCAGAGGGAGATGGTGGAGCAGCAGAGACGCCTCTGTGCATAGGACATGAAATAATCTGAGAACAATAAAGACTTCTCCAGCTTTCCTCCCATCCAACTACCTGGAAATGGCTGAGCTGCCAGCAGGGAGTCACTGTGGGTGGGCCAGGAGATCATGACAGTACTTGTTTATCATTTCATTACCTTGATGAACAACAAAGCCTCAAAAGTCTGTCTGTCTGTCTGCTGATGGCTCGTTGTCTTCGGATGTAATTAATGCTGTCTTTCTATCATAACCCAAGAACAAGAGATTTGTGAAGTTCCCTGCTCCCCACTAACAGCTTCTGCTGCCTGTCCCGGAGGGTTCTGCTGCAGAGCAAGAACAGAGGACTGTGAGCAGAGGAAAACAGGCTTTTTTCAGAACAAAACAGTTCTCTGAACCAGTCACTGCACTGAAGGAGACACAGTAAGGTTTTATTTATGTGCACGCAGAGAAAGCTGTGACTATCAAATCTTCTCTATTGTTTCCACAGTAGGCTCTGCACCTATTTAAAATTAAAATCTGCACACAAGCACAGCTCTGTGATAAGAACTGTGTGTTATGTACCTATACTTATTAGAGATTTTTCATGGAATTTCTTAGTAGTAATTTCCAATTGGAAATAGAGGAAAGTAAAATATATTCTGAAACTTGAACAACTGATCTTTCTCTCCTGGAAATCCCATTAAAATCCACTGCCTTTCTAGTTTTATACACTTATTGTGGTTTTAACCCCAACCTGGCAACCCACCATCACAAAGCCATGCACTCAGTGCCCCACCAGCTGGATGGGGAAGAGAATCACAAGCGTCAAAGTGAGGAAATTTGTGGAATGAGGCAAAAAAAAAAAAAAAAAAAAAAAAAAAAAAAAAAAAAAAAAAAAAAAAAAAAAAAAAAAAAAAAAACAAAAAAAAAAAAAAAACACCTCAATCCATGAGATTTGAATTGCTCTTCACTTAGTGCTACCTTCATGCCCACAATAAATATAGTGTCAAAAGAGGGTTTGAATCTTTAAAAATAGTATTTTTATCATTTAAAGTGCTGTAAGTCAGTGGTGAAGCTGTCTCCAGTGGAACTGAAAGGAGGGAGGAAAAAAGTTTAGTGAGATCGATCTAAAACCTGCAGTCACCACTTAGTACATCATAAATTAGGATAGCTGGGATGAAATATTTCTGTTCTCAACTCCAGCTTCACATCATCAGTGTGACAGAAAAACTTGTGAGTCTGAATCCTTTAAGAACACATGCTGTACCAGGTAGCAGAGTGGCTGTGCTAGCTCTTCCCCCCTTGCTCTCTGCAGCCTGGAGTTCAAACTTAAAAAAAGAAATGCGGCATGGAGCACTTCCTTAGTCAGTCACAGCAGTGAGATTTGGAAGTTTTGCTGTTTTCCTGGGTAGAAACCTGATTCCTGTAAGCATAGTTAGCTAGGAAGACATAGGAAGACAGT